GTAGAAGTGATGATATCCTTCGAAGGGATTTTTGAGAACTTTGGCTATAACACCTAACCTGATGGGGTTGTTGATCTCCTTGTGCAAACCAGAAAAGTGTTGATGGCTGCTGGTGACTCCTTGCTGGTGACTCCTTGTGGATGTAAACTTTATTGAAGACTTGTGTGTATTTGGCCTAGTGTATGTTGGACTCCCTGTGCTGTAGAAAAGCTGATAGCTTCTTCGAAGGGATAGTTCTTTAGCATTTGCTTGTATTGTAGATTCGTTGTAATGTGTTGTACGTCTTTTTTTACGGTGTGATGTATTTGTTAGTGTAATTTGTACCCTATGCGTGTAACCATGTTGATGGTTAAGCATATAACTTTGATGTATTTGTTTGATTTGGGTAATAATAATTTACATGTTACCCTTGAAAGAGCTCTCAATAATGTTCGGTCGAGACTTCTCTCTGGCGATTGAGTTACTGTAGCTCGTCGCCATTGCCGTTCATTTTCGTCGTTCTTCCGGTGGTTTCGTCCTCACCCAAGGCCAGATTCGTGTTCTCTTCTTCAAGGCGATTCTCCTCACTGGTGGTTTCTTCCGATATCGTTGTGGTTGGAAGTCAACGCTACTAGGGTTTCTTCGTTCCTGTTCAGATCTTCCAAGTAAGTATGGCTTCCTTCTCTTGATGTTCATACGACGCTATGGGGAAGAAGAATAGGACCATGGAACCTACTACTCCAACTCCTCCGAAGAAGAAGCTTCTGGAGTTGAATGTGGATGATGAGGTCACTTTGGATACTCTTGAGAACTCGGATAGTACGTCTAGTGATGATAATCAGTCTGTGAATGATATTAATGAAGTTGAGAATGTTGCGGTTGAGGATGGGAATGGCACCTCCACTGGTTCTGATACTCCTTCTGTTGATGAAGAGGCAGTTGAGAAAGAATTGGAAAAAAATAAGAACACCCCCAAGGTGTTTGAGAAAAAGCCTAAGCCAGTTCTGAAGAAAACCTATGCTGAACTTCTGAAAAACAATAGGAAAGCTACCCAAGGGATGCAATTATTCAAGGTTGAGCTTAACAGCACTGAAGAGGTGTTTATTCCTGATGAAGCAATCCTTCCAATTGAACAGTTGTGGGGATACTGCCTTGTGGGATGTTTCTCTGGAAAATTCCCAGGACTTAAGGCCATCCAAAAAATG